GGGGGGGGGGGGGGGGGGGGGGGGGGTGAGGTTTGCTGGGAATACATTTTATTCAAAAAGAACAGAAATGAAAATATGATAAATCAAAGGTAATATATAAAAATAAATTAGAACCTGCATGCAGACAAGTTTCGAGTCTCCTTGAACACGTATATGTTTGAAACCCTTTGAAAGAGCATACTTCAACCCCAAAATGAGACCTCGATATTCAGCGGCATTATTAGTGGCAACACCCATGCCTTCACGCAATCGAAACACCTATCAGAATGAAATTCAAGGTCAAGCATATTAAAAACGATAGAGCCTCCAGGTAAAAGAGTATACCATGCTTCCATCTGCTGCCCGCAGCACAGCTCCGGCACCTGCTAGTCCAGGGTTTCCCTTTGAGGCACCATCAAACTCAAGAATAAAGGAACTCTGCACGCAAAAGTGGAAATGAAAAAGCAGAGAACAAAACAATATATTCATTATGATGAAGACCAGAGAAGGAGAATGCACAGGATTTTGCCGGACAGCTAATGGCCGGGAAATCCATAAAACTGGATAGCATTTCAATAGTTAACACATCAAGCATCTAAAAATACAGCAGTAAGGCAAAAATGTTGCCAACACCTTAACTAGTTGGAAGTAAATTTTTCATTTCCTGTCATGCACCAGAGAATCAAGTTGCGAGCAACCTGGTTCTTGCCAAACGCCATACGCTCCAAAAATATCAGAATTATAATGTTGAATATAGGAAGTAGCAATATTATATCATGTGTTACACTAAATGGTTTCACAGCTTTTAAAAGAAATCTACGATACACCGACATCCTCCCGGGCCGGCGAACTGGTGTCCAACAAGTGTTGGAAACACCAAGCAGAAATTCCAAATTATTTTATTTTGTTTAGAAGGACAAGACGCTGATATTACCATCGGACACCAACATGCAGGGAATGCTCGGTGACATGTCTAGAATATTTTCTAGATTTTGTATAGTTGAACAAGTCAATGACACATTAGGAGATGAAATTAAGAAACAAACTTAGCCCCTATTTGATGGCCAATATTGAGAAAAATAATGTTTTGAATAGTGATTTTTTTGGAGAATGTGTTGTTAAAAAGTATGAAAAATTTTGCGTTTACGTGCAAAATATTTTATTATATGAATATGTGGTTAAAAATAAGTATGAGAATTAAAGAATTTTTGTTGTAAAGGGAGATAGACAAGGGCTTACTTTACAATATAAAAAATGAAAAATATTATTTTAATAAGCATATAGGGATGTGTCTTGTCGGTACTTTTTTTTAAAAAATTGCATGTCGCTTCCTTGTCGTGTCATGTCCGACACCCATGTCCGTATCTATGCTTGCTAGAAAAATATCCAACCCAACAAGACAAATCATTACCTTACAACGAAACAACTATTACAAAGTTAAACACTTTGAATGCAGAACAATAAAATCTATCATTAAAACAAACATGTTCCTTGGTAAGTCCAATATGCACAAAATCTGCTTCATATGGTAATGTATTACCAAGACAATGAGCTCATAGCTTAGTCAATGAGGGTGCAAAGTGTTTTTTCGGAATATGCAAAGGAAGAAGTTATTATCATCAATGGTTTTCGAATATTAAGCAATTTAATAATAACTCCTCCAAATGGTGCACATATACAAATAGGATACAATCATACAATGGATTGTTCTTGTGAATTAGTCCTTACTACTGCATCAACATAACCCTTAATTTTCTTATTGCAAAGGTGCAGACAAATTGGATTATTCTTCTGCATATTGCTTAATATTAGTACCACGTAGTTTTTCTTAGGTGCAGTTTTATAGTAACTCGGAAAATTTTGATATTTTTAGGTTTGCTTTTAGTTTAGCCATCTTTGTTGCTGAGAGCTAGGTTACATCCCAAATTGATTTCGGGTACTTGTTCCACATTAAGACTCAGAAAAACAACATTCCTCTTGGAACAAATATTTCTGGGATATCAAAGTATGTAATTTGAAGACATACATCTATATCCAAATTCAAGCCAACAATATTTTTCAAACTTTTAAGCCAGTATGACTGTAGGTTCAAGGCATGAATCAATCAGGAAACAAGATCATGAACCATGCGTGATAGTAATAGTAACATTTCAATGTAGAAATTACCATTTGACAGAAACTTACACAATAAGATGAAACTGGTGGAACCGGAAGGAAATTATCTAATTTGGCATGCTTTTGCTGAGAACTATCAGCAAATGAAGTTGATCCAACAATCTCCTGCCAAATAATATAAAAGAATATCAAGAAAACAGAAAACCTCATGTAGGAAGATAATCACGCCAATAAATAAATCAATTTTGCCTCTTAAATTAAAACTAGGATCATGGCCGCATAATAGATCTTGTCAAGTCTCCTATTTGAAAACTATTCAGATCCAGTAATTACCTGTGGCCTCTTCTCTGGATAATTCTTGCTAACGGCTTTATCTTTAGAAGAATTTGGGTGCTGTAAAAATTAATATCCTCAATCACATCAATATTTCTTTTTAATATCACGTGTTAGAGGGCCTATTTCTTGCTTTATGCATGATAAGTAAAATAGTTCACAGCATAACATCTATATAGATATAGTTATTGCCTACCGACTATATCCTAAAAATATGATCTTGTGTAGAACATTGAGCACAAATTTAGTGGCCCATACGCCAGGAAAAGGAGCCCAACATGCAAAACAATGAATATTGACAGTGAAAAAAATTCATGAAAACAAACCACATTATGCTATAAAATAAGAGCTATGAAACATCAAGTGAAAGTCAATAGCAATAAAAAACGAAACATCTAACCCGAAATGGGCAAGTGACAAGTTGGCCAAAAAGATCATCTTGCACATCGTTGGCATCAACAGAGTAAATCGCATTCTTTAATCCATGAGACGAAAGGTACTCCTCGGCTTTTCTAGACAAACTGTATCCCTTGAACACGCTCAGCAAAGGATCATTTGCCTAATGGAGAAAAAATATATATATAAGATTGATTAATTAATTGACATTTCAAATATTTGGAGCAAGTTATATCAGGACAAAGGCAATATTGAATTAAAATTTCAATAACATTGATTGCCATACCGTTTAAAAAGAGAACATAATAAATTTTCACTTTCATCAACCTAATACTTTCATTTCTCCACGGACATGACACGACTTCGAAATGCCGAAATGCAGTTTATCGAAAAAGCAGGACATGTACATGTTGGGACAAGTTCATTTAAATTATTTAAAATTTTAAGTTCACACATTATGTCTTTTCTTTTAGAATTTTTAATATGGGACATGACATGCGGACACTTGCCGAGATGTTTCTAAAATCTCCTTGAATGTTGGCAATTTAAAAGATGTATAGAAAAATGGAACAAAGGCATGTGGTTTGTTGGATACATGTCCTTAATTGTGCAAGAGTGTCGGTGCTCGACACGAAGTGATCGTGATAAACACGGACACATTGCTCTAATAGGAGTGTCCGTGCATCTTAGAGTTCTCCTATAAAGAAAAGAACCCCATGAGAAGTACAAAGATGTGATGAACTAAATGAAGTAATAAAATCAAACACAACAATTTACACCTCTGTATATGCACATGCGTGTACAAGGGTAAGACTTACGACAGAGCACTGCTAACATTTCGGTAACGATATAATTAAGGCTCAATTTAAACACAAAAAGGAGATAGATAAGGATGAAAGTGCAAAGAAACTAATTGACGTGTGTTTCTTTCAGTGAAAGAGAGCTAAAAACCTAGTAACAGTAAGGGGATATAGATTTGTATTCTGTTTTGTATTTCAATAGTCTTTTTAACAAGTTTTAGTTGAATTTCAAATACCAAAGGAAGAAAAGAGACATATTTTTTCTTATCCATTTGTTTTCTCTGAAAAATTTATAAGCAAATGACACCTTAAAGGTTTAAAAGATAAAGGTCGAAAAGCTTCTATAACTAATTAAAAAAAGGAAGTGAAAATCCTTCTCAAAAATACACGCTACCAATAGGATTTTAAGAGAGTTATTTACATATAGGATTCCCAGGTAATCTCCATCCTCAATTCCCCATCAGTTTCTTTTCATTGTTTTTCATTATCCCTCACTTCCAATGGTCTCTTCTCCATCCTCTTACCCATCCCTTTCTATGTAAAGACACAAGAAAGAAAAAAAATTGTGAAACATTCAATGCTATAAAAAAGTCCAAAAAACTGAGGTCAATAATAAAACCCTAGAAATGGAAAGACCCATACACGTGATTTACCCATCATGAGGGCATGGCCTCGAGGCATAAGCCTCAGTAAGTCGAGACATACGACTTAAGAAAAGGCACTCTCAACTTAAGAAGAGGCATTCAAGTAAAGGAAAGTCTCCCGCAAAGCGAGCATCAAAGTACAAGCCTAAAACAACGGTCTTGCATTCATGGTGATTAACCAATGGTGTTGTCGCACAGTGAAAGACCCTGCAGGTTCCCACCCATGTCCAAGTCCAAACCCGCCTTTTACCTTTGTACATCCACAGAGAGCCTCACATCACCATTCTTTCATATACCGCTTATGCTGTATCTACCCAGTTGGTCAGCCAAAGAGAACCCCATCAAATATATTAGGAGCCCATTCTCACTTAAATAGCTTAGACATTTAGGTCATAAGTGCATCTATGTATCAGTACATATACTCATACTTTTATTTCATTTTTCAATATGGACAGCTCCATACGTGACAGTAAACTAAACAAAGAGAAGATCAAAGGCAAAGTAAGAAAAAAGATAAAAAGACAGTAGAAGCCTATTTACTCTTTAACAATAACCTTCTCGCAAAAGAAAACACTTATGAATTTAAAGCAATAATTGGGTTGAGAAAATGACGAGAAAATTACAGAAGATCGGAGCACAGCTTGAAGATCACTTAAGCTCTTGTACACCCCAAAGGTGTTCGCTCTCCGTACAACATAAAAAGCATCCTTTTCATCCCCCATTTTCGTTGCTTTATCTTTAATGAATTATTTAACAGCCCAAAGCCAAATTCCCTCGATCACTGCGTCAAGTCATAAAAAAAAAATTTTAATTAAATACCCACAATCAGCATTCCTCAAATTCAATTATTTTCATTACATGCATTAACAATATGAAAAAGTTATTAAGAATCAAAATATTATCAGAAGAAATAGGTCTTTTCTTGTACCCAACAACTTTATATCTTACTATTGATTTTATTCAGAAAAATTCAAATAAACTGAATTAAGACAAATAATTTGAGAAGGAAAAAGCAATTTTATAGAGAGAGGAGACAAAGTTAAACCTCTTTTATTCGTGGGATGTGAATGGACTTCCGTTTCAGAGTTCTTTCTATTCAAGACTGAGGAAAGTGACCGGGTGCGAGAAGAAATAAAAAAAGTAGAGAGAGAAAATTATAGCTTATAAGTTATAAGCAGTTGATATATGGGCTTCTTGGCGGGAAAGTAGAGGATAGTCTGTGGGCTGTTTAAGTTTAAGAGGCCACTCTTTCTCCCCACTACGGCCCACACGTTATTGGAGTACAATTTGGACAACTTACAAAAATACCCCTAACATTATAGATCTTTCGAAATATCGTATGAAAATTATTTTAGAAGTAAAAAATATTCTTAAGTTAAGCATCGACATTTTTATTAAAAAATAAAATACAATGAAACTTTTATTAAAATATGATATTTGTCACTCAAAAAAGTGACAAAAACTTGAAGAAAGTGAGAAAAAGAAAGTAAAACATACTTTATAAAACTAAATGTCACTTGTTTTATTAAAAAAATGACACGATGTCACTTTTTTTTATAAATTAAGTGTCACTTTGTCACAAACAATGTCACTTTTATTAAAAAGTGATGTTTGTCACTCCAAAAAGTAACAAACATTAAAAAAAAAAGGTGACAAAAATTCAAAAAGCGACAAAACACAAATTTAAACATTAGAATCAATTTAATAAAATGCCAAAAATAAAAAAAGAAAAAAGAAAAAAGTCACAACCATGATCGGATATTAGAACGTTCAAATATTCTAAAAATACCTGATTTTCTTCCACATACCATGATCAGAATCCAGAGAGAATAGCATAATAAATTGCACGCACTTGAATGGAATATCCGTGAGGTTTATATAGGGGAATGAGGATGTCATCTAATCTCAACATTTTTGGTAGTTTAATGCCCCGTTGGAGCTTGGAAAAACACTAAGGCTATGTTTGGTACCAATTCTCATTTTCAACAGTAAATCAATTCTCATTTTCAATCACACATTTTTCAATAAAATAATATTTTCTATCACATCAACAATCTTATCTTCTTTTTCAACCACACATTTCTCATCATATCACTATTCAAAATCAATTCTTCCCCCAAAAAATCCCTACCAAACACACACTAAATAGAAAGCCTCATGTGTTGATCTTTGTTTAACAATTATCACATGAAAGCACTAAGCAATCCACGTGCTAAAGTTTGCATCTCATGGTTCTTTGTTAGACAATTAAAATTTTTTTGGCAATGAAAGCTTAAAGGATCACAAGTATGTAATCAAAATAAACTATAAACTAACAACATTCAAACAAATTACACTATACTTATAATTCTGTATGTAATACAATATTGTACTAGAATAATGCTTGTGTGTTAGAAAATGTATGACAAAGAGAGTGATAGAATATGTGTTGGCATGATGTGATTTAATGAAAACGTTGACTATTTTTTAAACAGTCCAATGATAGGTTGTCTTGTGACATTATGTTAAAAATTATGTTATCCATTATGTTTGTGCAGCATGATTGATGTACCAACACATGACATCAAGTTCTAAATGAAGCACCATTTTCGTTGCTTTATCTTTAATAAATTATTTAACAGCACAAAGCCAAATTCCCTCGATCACTGCGTCAAGTCATAAAAAAATAAATAAATTAAATACCCACAATCAGCATTCCTCAAATTCAATTATTTTCATTACGTGCATTAACAATATGAAAAAGTTATTAAGAACCAAAATATTATCAGAAGAAATAGGTCTTTTCTTGTACCCAAAAATCAACAACTTTATATTTTACTATTGATTTTATTCAGAAAAATTCAAATAAACTGAATTAAGACAAATAATTTGAGAAGGAAAAAGCAATTTTATAGAGAGGGGAGACAAAGTTAAACCTTTTTTATTCGTGGGATGTGAATGGACTTCCGTTTCAGAGTTCTTTCTATTCAAGACTGAGGAAAGTGAACGGGTGCGGAAGAAATAAAAAAAGTAGAGAGAGAAAATTATAGCTTATAAGTTATAAGCAGTTGATATATGGGCTTCTTGGCGGGAAAGTAGAGGATAGTCTGCGGGCTGTTTAAGTTTAAGAGGCCACTCTTTCTCCCCACTACGGCCCACACGTTATTGGAGTACAATTTGGACAACTTACAAAAAACCCATAAAATTAAGGGTCTATCGAAAAAGAGGAAATTACACTAAACTATGTGTTTAGTTTAATATTTATGAAAATCAAGTTTATACTTTATTTAATCAAAAATCAGGTTTTAATTTCACAATTAATACTAATAATTATATTTTAAATTAAATTAATATATATACTCACCCCTATCCCCCATCCCCCATTTCAACCAAATCTATCCAAACCCTAAATCTATTCATTTCTCTCCATCCTTCCATTTCTCTCCACAACCTTGCCTCCTCCCACGACGACCGCCCATCGCCTCCTCCCATTGTCGCCTCTCTTTTCTTCCCTCCTCTCTCTCCCTATCTCTCTGTCCTCTGTGTACTAGTGTGTGCGGTGTGTAATGGGTGTTGTGTGGTGGTGTGTGTTGTTGTTTTGGGGGCGGTGGCGGTGGTGAAAGGTGTTTTAGCGGTGGAAGTCTTTATTCTTCTCTCTGTACTAATTTACCCAGACAATTTATGAGGTTTTCAGATTATCCGTTTGAGATTAAGAATTGCAAGCACTTGAGCTTATTGTTTATGACTGGGAACAGGTACATGTTGGAACTTTGTTATTTTATTTTTTTTTCTTGGTTATTCTCCTTTGTACCTGAACTGTTTGTATTATTCTTCAGGTGGGTAAACATGACAAGATGGGTGATGGTGGATCTGTGGTATGGTGTGGTGATCCATGCGGTGGTGGTCTTTTTTATTATTGTTGCGACGGGGTCAACGGCGATGGTGGATTTTTTGGTGTCTGTGACCTAACTACTAAACTGTGACTTTAAAATCGATAATTTGTAATTAAAAAAAAAATCTGTGACCAAAAAATTTGAAAATACATGACCTGTGACCTATAGTTTTTTGGATATGTGACCAATAAAATAATCCGTGACCTGTAAAATTTTAGATTTGTGATTTCGAAATAATCTGTGACCTACAAATTTTTTTTATTTGTGACCGATTAAAAAACCGTGACTTACAAAATTTTAAATTTGTGATTTCGAAATAATCTGTGATCTACAAATTTTTTGATCTGTGATCGGAGAGCAGTCATCGGAGTGGTCGCCGATCAACGGAGTAGTCGCCGGAGCAGTAGAGGGGTGGGGTGGTATATGTTCATTATATTATATTACAGTTTAATATTTCATTTAATATAATAATTGTGAAATATAATTAATTAATTCATGAAAAATCTGATTTTTGCAATTTTAAACCTTGAAACCTGATTTTTGATTTTGGGATAGATAAAACCCGAGTTGTAAACTTTTCCCTTCGAAAATTCATATGAAAATTATTTTAGAAGTAAAAAATATTTTTAAGTTAAGTATCGACATTTTTATTCAAAAATAAAATACAATGAAACTTTTATTAAAATATAATATTTGTCACTAAAAAGAGTGACAAAAACTTGAAGAAAGTGAGAAAAAGAAAGTAAAACATACTTTATAAAACTAAGTGTCACTTGTTTTATTAAAAAAATTGACACGATCTCACTTTTTTTATAAATTAAGTGTCACTTTGTCACAAAAAATGTCACTTTTATTAAAAGTGATGTTTGTCACTCCAAAAAGTAACAAACATAAAAAAAAAAAAAAAAAAAGTGACAAAAGTTCAAAAAGTGACAAAACACAAATTTAAACATTAGAATCAATTTAATAAAATGGCAAAAAAAAAAAAAAAAAGTGACAACTATGATCGGATATTAGAACACTAGAATTACTGTTCAAATATTCTAAAAGCACCTAATTTTCTTCCACATACCATGATCAGAATCCAGAGAGAATAGCATAATAAATTGCACGCACTTGAATGGAATATCCATGAGGTTTATATAGGGGAATCATGAGGATATCATCTAATCTCAACATTTTTGGCAGTTTAATGCCCTGTTGGAGCTTGGAAAAACACTAAATAGAAATCCTCATGTGTTGATCTTTGTTTAACAATTATCACATGAAAGCACTAAGCAATCCATGTGCTAAAGTTTGCGTCTCATGGTTCTTTTTTAGACAATTTAAATTTTTTTCGCAATGAGAGCTTGGAGGATCACAAAGTATGTAATCAAATAAACTATAAACTAACGACATTCAAACAAATTACACTATACTTATAATTCTGTACGTAATACAATATTGTACTAGAATAATGCTTGTGTGTTAGAAAATGTATGAGAGAGATTGATAGAATATGTGTTGGCATGATGTGATTTAATGAAAACGTTGACCATATTTTGAACAGTCCAATGATAGGTTGTCATGTGACATTATGTTAAAAATTATGTTATCCATTATGTTTGTGCAGCATGATTGATGTACCAACACATGACATCAAGTTCTAAATGAAGCATTAACTTTCATTCGAAAGACCGGTAAAACCACAGTAAAATCACTTAATGGCTGATTGTTAGGGTGACCGGTTTGAGGTTTTATACACCTAATATGAGAAACATGTGCAACAAAACACAATCATTTAGGTAGACAAAACAATTGACCATTGTCCATTGGATTGGACTCTTTGCATAAATAAATTAGGCACCCAT